CAGCTCTTGGGCTTGAAGTTCAGTTTTCGTTTCTTCCGCGGTGCGCGCTGTTCGCCTCCGGCAGAAAGTCACATGATCCACCCAGAGCCGTGTGCTCGGACTGAAATCTGAAAGGTAAAGCTGGCTGCATTAACTAAAGTACTTTTTTAAATCAGTAAATGTGAGGTTCTGTCGACACTGCGCGGGTGAGTAAAGCTGTGAGCGATTTGCGAGTATGTTCGGAAACCTCGGAGCTCCAACTGCTCTGCTTGTGGCTGATTTTTATTGATGAGTCTAAAGTCTGACAAGGAGTGTTTTGAGACGATCTTCTTAGAATCTGAAGTTGTTTAGACTCTAAACAACTTCGTTGCTTCATTTCTCACTGTTTTGACTTCTGCAGGACCATGAAGCTCATCATCCTGAATGACTACGACCAGGCGAGCGAATGGGCAGCAAAGTACATTAGAAACAAGATTTTACAGTTCAGCCCTGGCCCCAACAAATACTTCACTCTGGGGCTTCCTACAGGTAAGAGCAACGTGCAATCCTGTGATGTAGCATTTAGCACATGTATTTAGATTTGCATGATTTTAATGTGCAGCCTACGTTTCCTCCTCTCACTCCTTTGTTGCTTTTTCTGCCCGTCTTCAGGAAGCACTCCTTTAGGTTGTTATAAGAAGCTGATTGAATACTACAAAAATGGAGATCTCTCATTCCAGTACGTGAAGACTTTCAACATGGATGAATATGTAGGTAGGTCCTGATTGTTCTCTATTGTGCCATTAAGCATACAGAGTGAGGGACGCTTCCAAGCTCTGGTCTTGCATAAGAAACTGCCATAAACTGCTTTTATAGGACTTCCCAGAGATCATCCTGAGAGCTACCACTCCTTCATGTGGAATAACTTCTTCAAGCACATAGATATAAAAGCAGAGAACACGCACATCCTCGATGGCAACACCGCCGACCTGCAGGCAGAGTGTGAATCCTTTGAGAAGAAAATAACAGCTGCTGGGGGGATTCAGCTGTTTGTTGGAGGTCAGAAGACACACAGATAAAAGTGAAAATACTGCAGCTAGTTTGCCACACATTTCTTTTCTTCTGCCCTGTAATAAATGATTGCAAAACAATTAAGCCCCCTCTTCTTTTTCTGTGTCAGGTATTGGACCTGATGGCCACATTGCATTTAATGAGCCTGGTTCAAGTCTGGTATCCAGGACCAGGGTGAAAACGCTGGCGAAGGACACCATCATGGCCAATGCCCGATTCTTTGATGGAGATCTGTCAAAAGTCCCCACCATGGCGCTGACGGTGGGAGTGGGCACTGTCATGGATGCCAAAGAGGTTGGGAGTCTCACTCAGTGTCAGCCACGTGCCTTGGTGTTTGTGTTTTTGCTGCTGTGCCTAAATATCAAGAAGAGTGGTCATCAGTTAACTTCTGAACTTGCTGAGTTATTTCTCGGTTTTCAATCTGTCCTCAGGTTATGATTCTCATCACCGGAGCACACAAGGCGTTTGCTTTGTACAAAGCCATAGAGGAAGGTGTGAATCACATGTGGACAGTGTCTGCCTTTCAGCAGCACCCACAGACCATTTTTGTGTGCGATGAAGACGCCACCCTGGAACTGCGAGTCAAAACTGTGAAGTACTTTAAAGGTGAGACACTGAATCACAGATCATGCAGTTGCTGAGTGGGAGAAAAACATTTTATATTTCCAGCTGATTAAGAAAAAATATTTCCAAAGCAGACATGAGTCGTAGAAAAACTACTGAGTCTTGTTTTTTGTCCGCAGGGATGATGCATGTCCACAACAAGCTGGTAGAGTCACCTCCATCAGAGCCGAAGAAAAACTGAGGGAGACCTCTCTCAAACATCCTGGATTCAAGAGGCATTTGACCAAATGAGCACTCCAATAATTCCATTGATTATGTTTTTCCTTCTTCAAGATCAAGCAAGATTTTCTCACAACTACTTTTCAACTACTAGATAATTTAGTGCTGGTATAGATGATTCTTCATACAACTGCTCATTTGTTCTTTGTAATAAAGCAAATTTAATTTGTACATCTTATGTGTGTTTTTTGGGACATGCTGTGGTTTTCAGTCTGTCCTTCCATTCATGTGACGAACAGGAATGAACTCCTGTTGCCTTCAAGTGCTCCTTGTTATTTTTACTGGTTTTCTTAGGGTGGAAGTGATATGAAAGTTTATTTTCACTACAGGGGAAAATGCCCGCAGACTTATTATAATTATTATATGTAAACTTGATATGTAGTTATTAGCCCAAATTTTTTTGACTTGCAAATGGCAAAAAAAACCCCAAAAAACCAAAATCCATCCGCACAACCGTTTTTGTTAACTAGAATACTGCCTCACACTTCATATTTGCTTAATTTCAGATGCTCAATAAGAAATCTCGGAAGATGGCACATCATATTAGCTCAGCACCAGTCATATTATGTATTATAACACTTTAAATGAGCAATTTCTTCCAAATAAGTGCATTTAATTTTGCTATATTATACACTGTAGCAATTCCCCTTTACAGCGTAAAATATATATAATTGACAGTTATGGGCTTATAATTTGTACTTTTTCCCCCTCGATCTTTCACGCGCTAACAACTGAAAGAATGTCGTTTCCGACTGCACTTGAACGCAGCACCAGCTCTGCCACTACCAGGAGCGGAGAAGGAAGGAGATGGCCGACTAGAAGGCAGCGTTATCTTTGCTATTTCGCCTGCGAGATTCCTTTTACATTACACAGTTTCACAGCAGAAGCAGAGGGAGTACTGTACAGTTATTTCGTTCCTCTTCAGCTATGGCAGAACAAAACAGCAGCGTCAGATATCAGGAGGTAGGTAACAGGTTGCCGTCACACTTAAATGTGGCTAACAGCTAGCTGCTGCTCAGTCAACATTAGCCTGTCACTGAGAGCAAAACAGCGAACTCAGCTGTCATTTGTTTACGGGCGGGCCCGATGTTGAGTGACATGTTTTATGCTTTTATTAAACAGAATTTCTTCCACTGCAACTGCTGTACTCATATATTCATCATATATAATTTTAATGCTGTATAGGCCATATTTATTTAGCAGCTAATTAGCCACTCCTAGCGTTAGCTGGCGTTGCTGGCCTGCACAGGAGTGCTGTGTAGTGTCTAGACTTGATCCAAAGCTGTCCTGGCTCACTGACCAATCCTCCCTGTCAGTGACTGAAACCTTAGAGACGGATCAGGGTCAAAATGCTAAAGTGAAGCTGCTGCATGCTCGCTTAAATCGCCACACAGCACTGATGTGCAAATTATGTCTGAAATCAGCAGCCCACGGTTTATAATACAACCTGCCTTGTGTGTCGTTGGTAAAGATAAGAGGTTACTGTCCAATAATGTTATTTAAATGAGAATATCCGTAAGTATCAAATCCAGATGGTCTAATCTGTGTTTGGGAGAAGGAAGTGGCTGACAGAGCCTGTATGTCCGTACAGCAGGCCCTGTTTAATGACTCATGTAATTGTCTATAATGGCCCAGTACAAGCAGAAATCTTCCCTGGGGATAGTTGCCATGATATAAACAACATGGCAGACAAATATCTGCTATCACACAGTGTAAATGCTATCATTTTGACCTCCCCTATGCAGACAGCATTGTTCCCTTTTCTAAATTGCAGCTGCTTACTTATCTGAAAGGACCGTACTGTAAGCGAGACCCAGTTTGTGTTGTTGTCTATTAATGTTTCTCCAGCTGGTGAATGAGGAAGAGCCCGCCCAGCCTTCCCAGGAGGGTCCTGCCCAGGACGCCCCACCACCATACAGCAGCATTGCTGCAGCAAATGCAGGTTAGCTTGGTCACACGCTGTCAAATCACTTCATTTTCTTAAAAACACAATTTAATTCCAGATGTGTCTGTGCGACCTAATTGTCAATTATAAGTGAATTTAAAAGCAGGAAGAGATAAACATTATGAACACTGGCTGTTTTTAACAGGTGTAATTTGACAAGTTGCCACTTATGTGATCACTGCTTCGACTTGTACAAAGCACTTTGATGTTGAAGCTTTTCTGGTGACAGGTTTCCCTCCATGCAGATTTTGTGAGCTTATTTTGCATCTTGTTAAAGATCAGATAAATATTTAGTTTCTCTCACAGAAATCTTAAATACAGTCCAGATGCACCATATATCATTTGTACTGAAATGAGTATGTTTATTTACACGTATAATTGTGTGAAGTTTGTTTAATTTTTTTCTTCCTAAAATAGGATTGCAGAATAGGTCATGTGCAGGGAAGGTCTCGGGCTCGTTATCATGTTTCCAATGTCACTTCTTAAGAGGGCAAGGGTCAGCATGTTCCATAAGAGGGTGCAGCTATAGCTCTTCCTGGATGAGTCCATTGATCTGTTTTAGTGCTGTTAGTGTTTGAGCGAGGCGGAGGCGTATTCCAGGATCGCAGCCAAACAACCCAGATAAGTCTTGGCTTGTATGAAGAGAGCACAAACAGTAATGGGTGCATACAATATATCACAGTTGTCTTTCTTGTACTAATATTTTACGTAAGTCATTGCTTCCTGCTTTGGGTTTCTAAAGCTCAGCTGTAGCTTTCATTTTTGAAGGAAGTGAAAGAAGATTTTTGTCTGTCAGCAGTCAGACGTGTTAAAACTCGCTGACCTTCGGTTTCTGTGTTTCTCGCTTTCAAAATTGATGCTTTAATTAACATCTCTGCCTTCTTTCAGAGGATGGCTTCGAGCCATCTGTCTCTGTCTGTTGCACAGTGAAGGTTGCTAAAGAAGTGGCAGTTGTCGCACTCACTGTTTGTAGATGTGTGCCAAAATTATAAACTGTGCTTCAGTTTACAGCAGCCCAAAACAGTGTTCAGTTACATTTACAGCAAACTGTTTCATAAATTGTTGGTCCACAGAAGGCATTTAGCACTCCTCAAAATGAAACACTAACAAATACACTCTATACACACTACATTAGGTACACCAGGTAGTACCATGTTGTCTGTTTGGTTTTTGGAACTGGATTAATGCTTTGTGGCATGGATTTAACAACATGCTTGAAATATTCCTTAAAGATTTTGGTCCATATTGACACAATGGTGTCACAGTTGCTGCAGATTTGTCAGCTGCACATCATGAAACAGTTTGTCTGCTCCACCACACCCCAAAGGTGCTTTATTGGATTGTGGAGGCCATTTGAGTTCAGTGAACTTGTGTTCAAGAAACCAGTTTGAGATGATTCAAGCTGTGTGGCATGGTGTCAGGTGAAGCATCCATCAGAATATGGCTATACTGTGGTCATAAAAGGATGGACATGATCAGCAACCATACTCAAACAGGCTTAAACAAAACAAGTTGGTGCTAAAGAACCAAAATGTGAAAAGAAAATATCCCCCACACCATCACGACAGACCTGAACATTTGATACATGGCAGGAAGGATCCATGCTTTCATTGACACTACAACTCCAGTGTTTCAGTAGAAATTGAAACTCAACAGACCAGGCAGTGGTTTTGCTCATCTGCTTCAACAAATGCTCTTCTGCATGCATTGGTTGTAACAAGCAATGATTCAAGTTGCAGTTGCTTTCCCATGACCATGAAGCAGTCTGGCCATTCTCCTCTGACATCAACAAGGCATTTTCACCCAGATGTCTGTCTTTCACTGGATAGTTTCTCCTCTTTGGACCATTCTCTTAACAGGTGTACTTAATAAAGCCACCAATGAGTTTATATCAGGATCTGCCATTGTCAGAGTCTTGGATGATACAATACAGCCTTAGCTTTGCTTTCAAGGGACACCTGTGTTAATAATTTATCTTGCCTTAAAGCATCAACTGAGATTTGGCACAGAACTGGTCTGTGAAGACAATGGGAAAGATCAGCAGAGTGAGCACATAGAAATGTTTTTGTTTGCACTCCGTTGTTCAGATTAGCAAAAAGTAAAGCAGGGAGGTGGAAATCAGGAACAATCAGTCTTTGGTTTTCTTGTTTTCAAAATAACATTTGTATTTTTGAAGACGTCACAGGCTCTAGAAAAGTGATTTTGTAGTTTAAAGACCACACGTTTACTGGAGAAATAAACCAGCTCATTAATTGATAATGCTACTGTTTGGTGTAGTATTAAAGTGTAGGAAGTGTAAAATTTCAGCTCTTATACACTGTGATAACAGGATTTCATTTATTATTTTCTGTAGGTCTTCTGCTGTGTGGAGGAATGTATTATTGCAGATATTTATTTGTTGTTAATTAGTTGTAATTATTTGTTGCTTGTAACACCCACAGCTTTCTTTGAATACAAGGAAGATGGAGGAAGATTTCCCAACCCTCCATCCTACAGCGTTGCCACCACTTTGCCCTCCTATGATGAAGCTGAGAGAAGCAAAGCAGAGGCGGCCATCCCGCTGGTCGCTGGAAGAGTCACGGTACTCGTCTCGTTCTCAGACTTCTTTCTAATGACTTAGTGTTGTCACATATAAAACCCTAAACAAGACAGAGGTAAACTGAGGTTATTTTAATTAATAGTTTGAACGTATCCTTTTTGATGATGCAGGAGGAAGACTTTGTGGCCAGAGATGACTTTGATGATGCCGACCAGCTGCGAATAGGAAACGACGGCATCTTCATGCTCACTTTCTTCAGTAAGAAACAGACTTAACAGACGGTAACAATAAACAGACTTGATGCAAATGTACAACTCTGTTGACTCATCAAGGACAAAATTTACTCTCCTTTAATTTAACTTTTGTTTAGCTTCTTTTTGTTAAATCTGTGCCAACATGATGACTTTGCAAATCAATGATCCTTCTGTTAATTAACTGCTGTCTTTCTGCTACCAGTGGCATTCCTCTTCAACTGGATTGGCTTCTTCTTGTCGTTCTGTTTGACCACATCAGCCGCCGGCAGATACGGGGCCATCTCAGGCTTTGGCCTGTCGCTCATCAAATGGGTTCTTATTGTCAGGGTAAGAGCCACACACAGCATAGACCAGCTCAGCTCAGCTCTCCACAGGGTGGTTAAAATTCAACCATAATATCACAGTTATTCTCCCCCCGAAAGGAGCGCGTATGTAATCGGTTCAATTAGTTTGTCTGTCTGTTTGTAAGCGTCCGTAGTTTTCAAGATGGGTTCAAAATCTTGTGTGATTGTCGATGATAGTGACAGCTCGAGCTGATTTCATTTTGGTGAAATCAAGTCAAGGTCACAACAAATGTGAAAATCGGCAAAAGCTTTATGTTACCCAAATCTTTTTTAATGCATTGTCTTCAAATGTGACAACACTACACTAGGCTGTGGGGGGACGTCAGTAACCATGTTGGCTACTCATTTGATCTCGACCTTTATTGTTGGCGCCGAAGCTCAAAGTGACCTTGGAAAAAAAATTTAAGAAAGCGTATAAAGTAATATAACATATGAAAGGGTATGGGGAGAGCCGTAAAACACAGGGTTATATCTTTTCAATAAAACACCCTATGACATCATAATGACGCCATAAAGTTTTGCAAAATCTTACACTGCATGAATATCTTAAAGTCTTAAGTTTTTACAGCTTATAAAAACCAAAGATTTCAGCCAAATCTGCTCCAGTCGAATGAGTGAAGATGATAAAAACACCATTTATTTTAGTATGTAATGCTTCAAGGTCAGAGGTCAGATAGCAGCGTGTTGTAATAAAAACAGAATGTTGCAATAAAAATGTCATAAAACATTAAAGTTTTAGTACAACCTTGCCCTTCGAGGGAGTTGTGCTGTCTTAGCGTTCTTGTTTTAGTTTAAATTTTAATAATTTAATGTTGGTCTTAACCCTGTGAAGCCTGAAGAACGAAAGGATTGACAGAAAATTCTGTTTATTTATATTTGAACACTGCATGTGTCTGATTGTATAAATTACAGTTCTCAAAATGTATCATATGTATGATACTCGTGTATCATATCTGATAGCCACAGCCACCCCAGCTGTGGCTCAGGTGATAGAGCAGATCAGCTACTGATCGGAAGGTTGGTGGTTCGATCCTTGGCTTCCCCAGTCTGCATGCCAAATATCCTTGGGCAAGATACTAACCCCAAGTTGCCCTTTGATGCATCCATCGGAGTATGAATGTGTATGAATGTAGTTTAGTTTGCACTTGTGTTTAGAAGTGCTTGTATGAGTGGGTGTGAATGGGTGAATGAGGCATGTTGTATACAGCGCTTTGAGTACTCCGGGAGAGTAGAAAAGCGCTATATAAGAATCAGTCCATTTACCATATGATGCATTTGGCGTTACAGGGTTAATGATCTATTTAACGGCACTTAATTTCCAAAAACACTTGAAATTACTCGTGCCACTTAAGTTATGGATGGGTGTGTGGTCAAAGATGTGCCGCATGATTCTACAAAGTGGTGTTTGGTGCTGTGTTCTTAAAGACAGACCACCAGAGTCACACTGTTGATTGAAACTTGCGTCTTGTGTCTCTGCAGTTTTCGACCTACTTCCCCGGTTACTTTGATGGGCAGTATTGGTTGTGGTGGGTGTTTTTGGCACTTGGTGAGTGAGAGATGATGTTTTATAAGTATACTTGTATTTTTATATTATTAACACTCTACACACAGCTAAGATTTTTCTAATTATGTTGTGTGGTCATTTCTTTGGTAATCTGTCTTCTGTTTGGACTGCAGGCTTTATGCTGTTTATCAGAGGCTTCGTGAACTACTCCAGAGTGCGTAAACTGGCTGATCCCACTTACGCCACCCTTCCTCGAACAAGGGTACTCTTCATCTATTAAAGGTAAGGTGCATGGGTCATGAAGAAAATATCAATTTTTACTTACTGTCTGTCAGGTTTGTCATTAGTGGGCAGCACCTTTAAATCAATGTTGGACTGATTTATGAGTGGCAGCTAAACAAACAGCACAGAAATCATCCATTAAACAAAAAGCCCCAAATGGTACCCACAGTTCGTAGTGGCTCCATCCAAGTGAAAATGAAATGTAGAGACTTGGTGAAAAGATTAAAATAAGCTGTTCATGACCTCTTCGATTTTTCAGCTTAAGCAGATTAAACATAAACCTGCTACTTCCCCATGTAACCTCTGTCCTCTGACTTTGCTGCTACATGGCGCACAGCACAACCACTGTCAACACCTGTCTCTGTGATTAAACTAACCTGATGCTCCAGATGGTGTGTGACACAGAACCAGCAGGGATGTCCTTTGGAAAAACGCAGGTGCAAGCCAAAAATAACTGTCTGTTCATTACAGGTGAAATTTAACCAATCAGATCCACAGGCTACTTTCAGTGCAGCCAGTTGGAAAAACAGGTTCTTGCCAAAGTCAGTCGGGAGAAGAGTGAAAACAGAGAGCAGGAAGTGCATATAAAGGTTTTCTTTGCACTTCTTGCAGTTTAGAAATGCTCTAAACACTGGTGACAGTGGGAAGGAAGACCTCCCTTTTAGCAGGAAGCTGTTAAACATGGGAAAGAAGATGCATGTTAATGAAATGCAGTAGTGTCATGTCCATTCCCATGGTTTCAGCAGTCCCCCTCCAGGAATTTGCTGACATCTAAGTGGTTAGACTGAGGTTATGATTATTAATTAAATCAAAAAATGGTGGAAAAAAATAGCTAGCAATGCACAGAAGGAATCTACACTACTGAAGAGACCAGTCAGAACAGGTGCTACCTGCATTGATGTGATCTGTATTTACAGTTTCAGGGAGGTACCTGTCCGGTTACGGTGTAGGGTTTCACTTTGTGTGGTTACAACATATCTGCGGTGTAGCTTTCATGCAGCAGCAGCTTTGACCTGAACAAGTTTCCCTGCCATCAGTCGGAGTCCAATAATCTTTGGTGCTACACTTGAATTAGACCGGGAATGTCAAAAATGCAGTCCAAGGGCCAGAAAGACTCCAATCTGGTCCACTGGATGGCTTGTTTCTATGAATGAATGGGAATTATGTTAAAGAGCTACCAGAACTTTATCAGCAAATTTACATACTTATTTAAGTATGCTGACAGATTTTTAATTTACTGCAACATTTCTTTATCATGTAGAAAAACTGAGACGTGCAGTTGAAGTTGCACTTTTTGATTTATATATCAAATGTAATTAAGTGTGTCGTTAAACATCTGTACGCTGACAGAAAGAGGAGTTTCGCTGGTCTGGCCAACTTACAGTCAAAGTAGGCTGTATGTGCACATGAAGTACAAAGAGTTTGACGTCACTTCTTTAGATTTAAGTGGGATTTATAGTCCCACAAACATGTCCATCCACGTCCGCTTTCATGAAAAGCGCAGAGTTGTCTGTGTTGTCTGTCGGTCCGTGGCTGGCTCACGGACCAACAACACTACGAGCAACAGTGGCTCACTGACCCATTGTAAGCAGAGACTTTGTACACTGCCTCCACCTGACCACAGAGCTCACTGCAGGCAGACGGGCAGAGCATAGAGTGGAGCCGAAAGCCTACACGCTCGCTCTGCTTGACCATAAAACCAGCTTAACACTTTGCCATCAGCTCATGTAACACTGCCCCTCCTTTCTTTCACACAGAGCAGAGAACCTGTATCTGTTTTCACACACATCTGTTTTACTCTAAGTGTCTGCTCAAACCTCTAAAGTGCACTGCAGTGAAAATACAGCGTTTAGTTGAGGTTAGGGTGTCGTCTGAGCAGCAGCATACAGGCCGAGGACCACTCCAGCCTGTGTACTCAGCAGCTGCTTTATGTTCAGATTGACTGCAGACGTCTGGTTTGTCACAAGCATTTCCTGCAGGGCATGTGTGAAAGATTTCCCCTCGACTTCCAACTCAGTGGAAGGGGAAACGCTTATCTGCTGATTGGGCAACCAGCTGTGGTTCAGAGACTGGTTTATGATGGATTCTCTCGTGATCTTGTGAGACTCTGCCTTGTAGGTTAAAGTTAAAACAGCATATCATTAACATGTCACTGAAGACCAACTCAATCTGTTATGAACTCAACTGTTAAAAACAAAGTTGTAGCAACAAATGATCTCAAAAGCATTAAACCACGTTTCTGTAAAACATGTATTTATATTTAACAGAGTGGTAATAATTCAGTGAGCAGGCCTGTTATTAACTGGCTCTACATACAGTGTGTCAGGTTGATAAGTAAGATTTGTGGTTGAGATTAGGATTGATTTCCACTGTTATGTCAGTTTTCTCCATTTTCCTATGTCAAAATCAGGACGTGGAAGAACTGGATGTGAAGAAGAAGAAGGAGTTTAAAATAAAAGAAGACACTTAACCAGAAATCAGCCAGATGAGATCCAGATGAAGACGACTCGAGTCAATAAAAAATAATAATCAGGAATTATATCACTCGTTTTCTTTTGTTTCAAACCTTTATTAAAGACAAATGGTTAACAGTAATAGTCCCTCAATGTACTCATTAGTGGCGAATGTTAAGTGCTATTTACATCTGTCTGTAATGTATAAGTAATGCCTTATATCATTTGATGGTAGCATACGAGCATGCATCTGCCCTTAAGGTCAATTAAATAGGGAGAGTCTCGTGTTGGCGACACTTGAAGCCAACAGGTATTAATTAGCGCAACACTCTGTAAGCTTGCCATAGCATGCAACACACTTTATAATAATCTGCTCTTCGAGGTTTAAGCTCTTTTTAGATTTCTTTAGGCTGTAAATACGGAAGTACTCATGAACACATCCTCCACTCACCTGTTGGCTTTAAGCAGTGTTGCCAGGAGGGGACAGTGTTGTCTGCAGCTTTTAGAAACTGTCATCGTAGATGTGATTCACACACAGCAAAGCGGCATCCATGATTTTTGCCTGTTACAATGTTTTTGTTGTACATTAAATCAGGTAAAACTCTCCAACCAGGGAAGAGAATTCAAGTTGCATGTGCAGGTTGATCCTAGAAGATGGAAAAGGAACTCGATGGCCTCAAATGTCAAGTGACAAAACCTGGAGCTGCTCTGCTGACAGCTGTGGAGACGCCAAATTTCTTTTGGCACTGACAGTGACCGAGATGATTTTTAAGGGCATATGAGCAGCTTAACACTTCTAGTCCACGTCCCACTCGCTGTCAGAGGAAAAGCTGTCAGGATTTCAGTACATAAGAAACGAACTTGTATTTTACTTCCAGGTGGGTTTTTACCTCAAGGTTTAATTGATGATTATTTCTTAATTTTTCATACTATGTAAGAAGTTTCTCTGTTGTGAGTATTATTAATTATCAAAGAATGTTTAATGCAGGTGCACTTTTAGAAACACGGCCAATAAGGACATTTCCATCATTAGATTAAGTCACAGACACATAAAGCAAGTGGTGCAGGATGTTGTTTTATAATGACGCTTGAATCAACAGTTCATATTTCATATGCCATGGCTTTCATTTACAGACCAGTTATGCTTCTTTCTATATGATGTAGAGCTGCAGCCTGGGGTTTTTGTTGTTATCAAACTGTACAGAAACTGTTTAGTGTTAAATAAATGTCACTTTAAATGCACCTGCTGAGCTTCCTGGGTTGTTACTGATGCATCACCTACTCAGAATACATAAATGCAGTGGATAGAAAAAGTGTAAGCTTCCCATTTATAGGAGCATGTGCAACCACAATGTTTTATGTTTTTAATTTGATCCGCTAAAAGTTTTGTTTTAAGGTCACATTAAAGGTAGAAAAAGTTTTATTATCTTGGTCTCGTTATTGTAACGTCATTACCGCAGGCACTTTAACAGGCGCGTGTACGCTTTTTATATCCACTGCATGCTTCATTAATGTGTAACAGGAAAACCGCTAACAAAATGAAGTGGTTTACAATGGGGTACAACTGAAGAACTATAAATATGGTAACATTAAAATAGTTCAATAAAATACAACAAATATTTAAAAAAGCGTAACAAAATAGAACCAAGAGCTCAGTAGAACAGAAATGAAGGCTCATTAAGTGCATAGTAAAATAAACAGTGCAGGATATTCAAAGTGTAGAGACGAGCATACTGATGATTGTTTTAGGTTATGAAGCCTTATTGGACAAACCATGAAAAAAGGTGAGTGCACAAACAGTTGTTAATAAGTGTGATTAAAGGGGCGAACTCATAGGTCAGTGTGTATGTGTATAAGGGGCCGGTAAATTTAAGTGTTGCAAATAAAAATTATTTGGAGAGGATGTAATCGTGCACAGTGGCGGCTTCTAGTGGCAGCAATGTGTAACTGTTGGAAGTATAACAGAGCAGCAACACTTCTGGGAAAGCTTTACTGGTTAATTTGTTAGGATTTAAGCTCTGTAGCACTTTCTATCCAGTCAAGGTTTCAAGAACAAAACAGATTACAGAAAAGCTAAAGTACAGTACATAATTAGTGGCAATGTATTTGTTTACTCTTCCCAGAAAACCTTAGTCCAAGAAGCACAAATTCCTGTTAAACTGCAGGTTAATGTGTTCATGTTTGCTCTACATGTCTGTTCTGTGAGCTAAGAGGACCTGCTACCAAATAAAATCAAAGATTTGTTGTGTCTATAGATTTGACGTATTATTAAAATAAAGAGACATTTGATCTCTCCATGCACTAAACAGACTGCCTTTGCACTTCCCTTTTATTTGGATTTATTATCTCTTGATTTCACACCACCATCTCCTGTAAGTAGTCCTATTGATGATTTAGAGGTTATGTGTTTCTGGTCCTTTGCGGTTGAGGTATCGCTGTGTGTTTTGCTCCCTCAGTCATCCAGCTGCCTGGGGAGAAAGAAGACGGCTTTCTGTCCGATGTGGGTTCTCGGGCCGAGTTTAGGCTTTCCGTTCTTTTTCAGAGCTACGTACCAGTTGTTGTCGTGATATTTCTGTGGCTGGTATGTGTTGTAGTGGTTCTCCTCCAGCCTCTCCAGGAAGTAACATTCATCTGTAATTGTGGGCTGAGAGACAAATGCAAGAACATTTCAAATAACATCTCATGAGGTTTGAGTTGGAGGTAAAAATGTAAACATTTAATGGGTTAGGAATAACAGTTAATAGTTTCACTTTGATTCAGTAAATCCTGCACTATCAATAATCAGAGTTTATGTCTTGTCCTCCTACATTAAGCTGTGCTGGCAAAGCAGCAGAGAAGTATGACCAGTGATCAATACACTGTGGGAATGCCCTGATGTTGAAATCTTATTCTGTTACTCAGCTTTTTCAACCTTCTTGGTATTGAACAAAAAACTAATATATTAAAAGTACAGTGTGTGCAAAGGTTTTAAGCAGCTCCTTCTTTCTTTGGTAGGTTTAATAAGTTCAACAAATTTATTAAAATATACAAACAGACTTACAGAATGAATATGATGCAAAAAAAAATTCTAAAGGACACAAGAAACAGATGCTATTCATCTGTTGCAGATAGTTTTCCAATGTTCTCTTGTTTTTTCAGAACACACGGCACACCATGCCAAGATATGTCAGGTTTTCAACTAAAAAGTGAAAAAAAGGTTTATCCATCGAGTTAGGTGTCTTTTTAGGAGTGAATTCACAGGTCTGTTAAGTGACTTACCAAACAACATTAACAACAAATAATTCTTGGATTATTTTCACTGGACTGAAAATGAGTGAAAAATCAGCCAGTGTCCACAGAGAAACTTTAAAAGACCAACTGCTTAAAACATTTACATGAAATTCTTATAAAGAGATATATAAAGAAATGAGGGGTAGATCAAGGATTTTACATGGGACTGTAACTCTGCAACAAAGTGGGATCAGGTTTAAAAACATGTCAGTGCAGATAACACAGACCAAACAAGTCAAGCAGATAAAAATAATTTAATGAATAATAAAATGTTAAGTATGTTAAGTGTTAATATTCTTGATTGTTTCCTGAATTGTTTGTCTTGTAATATTTCCCATAAACCTTTATTTAAAAAAAAACAAAAATTTGCCTTAAATACTCACTGAACTGTACAAACGGCCTTCATCGCTCATGGCTAAATATCTGCTGGCTTCCGTTCCTTGGATGACCACGACGCCTCTGTCCACAGCTTTGAGCTTTAAAACAGCTGAAAGGATAACAAAAATTACATGAAAGTCAAGAAATTACACAGAAACTGTCAAAATCTGAATATATAAATAATGACTATGTCATGGGTTGGCTCAGAGGCTTCAGTGCAAAGGTAAATCTGCAGCATCTGAATAAGATTCAGGTATAAAACATCAAAAACAGCTGTCGATGCATTTATTTTATTTTATTATTCACAATCTGAAAATTCTTCAGCAGAAATCTTTAAATATTCCTGCAGAAAGAGAGCCACCAATCTTTTTTTTAAATCTGTTTCTCTCCGTTTTGTCCAGCCTTGATTAGAACAGGTTCACCTGCGGTGTAGCACAGAGTAAAAAGAGAGCTTGCAGATGGCTGATCAATACAGAAAAGTATCTGATGACTGAAATGTCTCGTGCTGTGGTTTCCTGTTTCCACCTTTTCAAGGCCAGAAATGTTTCTTTCACAGAAGCCTCTGCGGCATCATTCCCAGCACGCCATTCCACTGCTCCTGTCGGTAAACTTTCCTTCTACTTCTGCGTGTTTTCTCGTGCTCAGACAACCACTGACTCCATCCACATTCATAAACACGTTCAAACTGAACTCACAGACATTTTGCAACAAACTAACGCAGTGGGATGTCCCGCATTTCACTTAAAAAGTGAAATGGACGCATGGCGCTTTAACCTGGAACACCTGCAGCAGAGGAAGTGAACGCGTCATGCTGCAGGCCTGACCTGGATGTTAAAGCGCGCAGTGATCTTACTGTGAGCGTCACTCTCTTCCCTCTGGCCCTGCACAGTCCCGTCGGGGAGGATCTGGAGGTGATGTCCGCCATTCATGCAGTACAGCCGAGCCAGTCTCCGGTAGTCCCTCAGCTGCAGCGGGCTGCTGTCCCCCACGCTCAGATCCACCACCGTGTCTCCATCCGCCATCCTGCTCGGCAGGAAACCTCGCTCTCTACAGCAGGGGGGTCTGCGACGAGAGGGGATCGGTTTCCTGCGGAAATTCTCACTGGATTTGTCCCCCTGCAGAGATCAGGTGTTTATGTGGCCGTGAACGAGCGCGAGACCACACAGGCAGCCACATGCGCAGTCCCGATTCCTGGCAGCATCCAACTGGGGTGAAAATAACAATGCCCACTTTGAATTCAAAGTAGCTTTTTAAACAGCCAGTGTGAGGACCCCGAGTTACTTTCTGCTTTCGTTACTTGTTGATCAGGTAATCAGTAACGAGCAGAGCCACGTGCCATAAGCACGCAACCTTTATTCACATGTTTTTGAAAGATATTTCTAATTTTCTGGGAGGCAGCTGTAATTAACGTGGGAGGAGCTGCTGCACATCACATCTTTATCCCAGAGATGGGATTGCAGTTTGGACACAACACAACAAAAGTTGTTTGCGTGTCCGGCTGGCGCACTTTTAATCTAACTGATAGGAAATAAGGGGAAAAGGGACATTTTCAACATGCTATTCATAACACAACATGACAGTTTTAGTTAAAGAGTTAAAAATAACTATACATTTTCTTGAGTAAATGAACATTTCCAATGACACAAAGTTGTTGTTTTTTTTTTTAAGTTCAGAAATGTCCTACATACTGGTTTCCACGAGTCTCCGTGAAATAAAAACTGAGAACAGTTGAAAAAACGGAAAATTCCGCTGAAAACAGGCAAAGAAGCTGAAAATTCTGCTGAAAAGAGATTTCTGCTTAAAAGAGCTAAAAAAGCTGACATTTGTGCTGAAAAGGGGTGAAAAAACTGAAAATTCTGCTAAAAAGGAGTGAAGAACATAAATTGTGTTGAAAAGAGTAAAACAAAGTTTTACTGTTAACTGAAAAAAATGTTACCATAAGCAGGATTTGAACCCTGGCCTCCCAGTCTGAGAACGGCTGCTCATCTCACTGACCTAAAACACAGCTCAGCCCAGCGAGCAGAAATAAGTGACCACATTGAAAATGTGTTCCATTCATTTCAATGGGCAAAATATTGCAAAAAATGCAATGTGAGGCATTCACACAATAACAACTTACTACAACCAGGGAATGCAGAAGAGCATCTCTGAATGCACAACTCGTTTAACCTTTAAGCAGATGGCCTGGAGGAGCAAAGACCACACCGCCAAAAGTGGACGAAAGATTTGAAAAGTATTGGTCTGGTGAGTCTCCTTTTCTGCTGCGACATTTGAATGCCAGGGTGAGAATTTCCAGCACCTTGTTAAAACTACACTGTGAAGCATTAAAGCAGTTCTGAATGCAAAATAGGGTTCAAAGTGTACCTCATAAAATCTGTGGTGATTGGATAAGCATCTAATTTTCACAGCTAGATGTGCTCCTTTATTGGCTCTCTAAGTTTAGTCCCTACTCCAAGGTGTTAAGTTTTGCTTCTCAGCAGCCATTTAAAAACAGTTATTTTGAACCATTATCTTAATTTAAATGCTCGCCTGCACTGTAAAGAGTCACCGGGGAAATTTGACAGAAACTTCACCTTAAAAGTTGCTGACTTTGCCTTAAATTGAGGTTTTAAAAGGCTTTCTTCCCCCTTCTAATTATTCTGATCCCACCATTACTGCCACTGTAGAAGGTTGGTTTTTGTAAATGAGCAGCTTGACCAATAAATAAATAAATTTTACATGCTTTTAAATAGGAACAAAAACACACGTTTACTTCCAGTGAATCTAAGCAGTCAATAAACCAGGTGTCAGAATGGAAAAGCATGTTTATTTGATGAACACGTGCTTGCTGTGAACATGAAAAGTGGCCTTGCACCAAGAATGACCATTTCCACAGTTTAGTTTTACTGCGACGGATGGCAAACATCATCATACACGTCCCCGTTTCGACAAGTACCACACAAAGACGTTAAAGGTTCAAACTTTAATCGATGGAGGAAAAATATCAACAGGATCTCACTACAGAGAGGAAATAATACAGAGGGGGTGGGGTGGGGGGAGGTACTGAAAAACTCTTTGTTTTTGGAGACAAATACACCACATTATTTCTTTACAATGGATTATATGTACATATTAAACTGGTTGGAAGCAAAAACAAAAAAAAAAAAAAAACGCTCTTTAGAGAAAGCATATACCAGTGAAAGATGATCTGCCCTTGATAATTCTCAAAAGTTAATGTCTGCATATGTTTTTATACAAAATAGATTTTCAAATAATATTTGGGTAGTGCAAATTTTTTTCCCTCTTTTTCTTATTTTTATTTAAGATTCAAGCTGGTTGATTACTTTCACAAACAGTTTGCGTGTGAAATAGACTGACTCCTATCCTATTCACAGTATTACACAATCCGACCAAAGCCTCCACGTTAGAGGAAAAAGAAACAAAAAGAACTGTACATTTGTCCTGTCTGCACTTGCTTTGGTCACCTTGTAGTCAAACATCTAACAGGCTGTTGTTTGTGCAATCTGGGTGGACTGATTATTGTTTCCTGAATATCCTGAAAAGCTGGCCTGCAGAGATCAAAGTCAGTCCCCTGTACGTAAATAGCTTATATAGGAAATAAATGAAGGAAAACAAGAAGTAATGTAATGTTATGCTATGATGATGGTGTTTCTATTGCATATTCAGATGTCCTCCTCAAAAATGTACACACAAGACATTTTTGAGCAAGAAGAGGCAAGTGTGTGATTTTATCTCTCTCTCTCTCTATATATATATATATATACATACATATATATCTATATATCTGTGTGTGTATATATACCTGTTTAAATGAAGAGCAGCAGCAGTAGAGACTTGGCTACACTGAATGTGAAAGTAACCCAAGATGATTTCCAAATATCTGAAACAAACCTCTCAGAAAAATGATAAGCATCTGTTGTCTGAGCCTCAGTGAGAGTGATGCTGGTGGCAGCAAAGTCATTAAATTATTCTCATATATTAAATTTTTTATCTTTGTTTGTGGGGGTGGGGGAGAAAGGAATAAACATAAAAAAAACCACCAAAAGAGACATCTGGGGAATCCAAACTTGTTTTTGGTTTTTAGTGTCAAAACGGAGCACAGACAGCTAAATGCTGTGTGAATCAGACAGTTTAAATAACCTGAGAATGGGGGAGAAAGTTTTTTTAGACTTGTCGTGGGGGATAGATCGGCCACTGGACAATTTTACATTTTTCCATATTTAAATACTCAAGTGAAATAAATGAATTCCTCTTTTAAGGGTCACATTCATGTAAAACATAAAAAAAGGGGTTAGGAAACACGGCCGGCTGACTGGTGAAAATTCCCACTTAGACCCCACAAACACACACGTGTGTTTATACATCTGTGTTACATATAAAACTCAGTTATCTCTTACAACAATCCAGTGTCCTGAAGTGCAGATAATTCAGGACTTCCCCCCCTCTCTATTTAAGACAAATTTATAAGCTTCAAAGTTTGGGCTCATTTCCGCTTCTCATACAATACTGACCGACTTTCAGCATCACTGAAAACAGACAAAACAGGAGTTTGGCACTGAAACAGTTCCCAGAGAATAAAAAGGATCCATTTTGCCTGCTTCCCCAAAGCAGCAACGCTACACTCAGACTGTGACAGGACTCTATGAAGTGACTGTTTTTTTTTAAAATGCCGGGACTCGTCCACAATGGCAAACAAACATATGAAAAACACAAGCAGATGCTGGACACGTTGTCTAGGGAGGGGACGATGCCTGAGCCGAAGTGCTCGATACACAAGCCGTCTATCATACAGACTGTTCGTTCTCAAAGGAATACTCTGACATTTTGACCAGTAAAATGTCTCATATCCCTGCAATGAATATGAAGCTGCCGGCACAGAAAGAGTGTAGAGAGGGGAACATCTGGCATGGTTTCATTTAAAAACAATAAGACTGCCAGGACCTTTAACACCTCATTAATACCAGTTAGATTGTGTTTCTTTAGTTTATACAAAAAAAACTAATAAAAAAGCCAGAAATACCAAACCAGCTTTAAACTCCAGCTTCACATTCACTGTACAGATATGACAGCGGGATAGCTGCATTCCCACAAAATGTCCAGCTATTCCTTTAATGAATACAATAATACATGAGTTTTTAATTAAAATTTAAAAAAAAAAAATCCAAAGCAGAAGCTTATTGAGAGAAGAGATATACTGTATGTATCACATCATCTTTACCAAACACACTTTGTAAAAAGAGCTTAAAAAGTGAAAGACGGGTGTTTCTCCTTCCACTTTGAGCCACATTAAAAACCACAGAAATTTCCTGATTAATCAAAAATGACATAAACTTGCAAACACAATAAGAATAAGCCCTCTCTCTTGTGATTGGTAGACGCAGATATCCATCCAACTGTTAGACTACCGGTGAAGGAGCGCGGACTAAAACGAGCACAAAATGGGCTACTTCCTAAAAAAAAGCAGCTCTACTTTCCATCTAAAGTCAAACAGGAAAGACAATTTAAACAGTCTTTCTTCACAGCCTTTTAAAGCCTTAAGCAGAGTACAAAGTGCTCAAATCGCACCTAAAGACTCCCGTGTATGTGTGTGTGTGCAGGAGGAAGCAGGCTCTGAGCGTTGTTTAACAATAAGGATCATTTCTACACGTGAGCTGCCACTTCTAAAGATAACATACAGCCACTGGAAAATCAAAAAGGAAAACTCGAAAGAAGTATAAAAAGTACAATCAACATACGATGAAGGTAGACCATGACGGGATAAAGAGTACGGTCGGAAGAAAAATGGCTAAGTGATCATTGAAGCAAAAAAGGCACATGTTTTTTTTCCCTTTTATAATAAAAGACGTGTGTAAACCTGGAAGAGGTCAGCTTGTGAAAGAAATAATCCTTAGAACGATGGATGTCTCTTAACAGTCCCATAGATTTGTTTTGTATTTTCCAAAGTTAATTAGCAAAACCAAAAAAAAAAAAGAAAAGCCACTAAATACGCTTTTTAAATGACTATAAAAACACACTCTCCCCCCATGTGACTGATAAAACATTTTGTTACAACCTCCTATAAAAACTAAAAGTGGAACATACAGTCTAAAAGCCTACTGACGAGCATGTTAAGCTTCGCTACCCTCTTGGGTAACATCAACCTGGGTAATTGTAGAAACTGTCATAATTTGAAAATGTAGAAAATACTATCAGAACCTGTACATAGATATTTGTTCAATCTATTTTAGATAACGTTCTGAATTTGAAGGTAAGAAACCTGAGATGACGTTGATGTTAGTCTAGTTCTTCTGTGATTATCTTTTATCTTACAAACAAGTCCTAATCATTGTTACACACTACATCCTACACTGTTCAACAAAACCAAACCTCTTGTGCTTGCCGTTTCTACACAAACATCTCCGCCCTCTCCCATCAGACCCGTGAGCCACTACACAAGAGTTGCATACGTGCTCCCAAAATACATCATCCGCGCCTGGGATCCTCAAGTCTTCTGGGGTTGGGGTAAGGGTGGGTGAGTCCGGTTGGGAAGGGTGGTGAGGTGAGATTATGTGGTGGGACTTTTTTTCTTTTTCTTTTTTTTTTTTTAAGGCATTGTGTCTGTTACGGGGGTGAGTCATCTCTGGTGGAAGAGCAGAGGTTTGACGCTCCCAGCCTTGAATTTTGGCAACTGGTTGCTGATGATCTCTGCCAGCATCTCTGGGAACTCCACGCTCAGGGATTTATTCACAAAGGTGTAGAAGCAGAAACTCAGCAGACCACCGACCATCTGGAGAGAACGCAAGAGGAGGAGACATCAGAACGTGATTAACATAAAACACATGCAAGTGTTTCCTGAGTAATGGTTTAAAACTATGAGTGGCATTTTAAACAGTCCATCAGATATACAAATATTTCCAGCGAGCAACAAAAACTGGCTTGAAAACATTTAAGTCAAAGTTACAGTACAGCTGCTGCTCTCATGTAATTCAATTAACATACACAGAAATACAGCCTGAACTCTTTCTTGTCATTTTCTTAAGTAGTTTGTTCTGTTCTCTGTCAAGACGATCCCTCCCTGCTTTAATAACGCTTATCCACTTTGTGGGGAGGCCAATCCATGCCTAATAGAAAACCACAATGGACCACCATCTTTTATGCTTTTACTACACTGGCAGTGTGTTTTTAGATTAGACTGAAAACTGGTGCCAATCTGATGCTTTCCAGATAGTAGTGTGATCAAAATCTGACCATACTTTTCTGCTTTTTATTATCCCATCAACAACACTAGCTATAAGTGTCCAGCATGTTTTACAGGTGGCCAATTTCTTAAGGACATGAGTGTCAGATACCACTGATTGACTGTACATACTTATCCACCTTAAAATATTAAGGCAAACATTTCAGCTAACAGCTCTTTGGGAATCACCTTGTTGGTACAAAAATACTATGTTACTATTATTAATAAAATATTATTTTACAATTAATACTGTTCTGTGTTATGTTTGACATCTTTTAAGTAAAGAAATGGGAACAAATTATGTGTTTTTGGAGCAGGCTGCTAGTAACAAACTGCTTAAAACCCCCACAATTTAAAATGTGTTATTTGTAGACAACACCGATTCATTCCGCGTTTCACAGGTCTGTGTTAAGTGACATTCTTAACTTTCCTCTGAAAGTTGTACGAGGAGTGAAAAAGCAGCCAATGTCCAAAAAGCAAAAAAAAAACCTTTGAAAAGCCTGTAGTGTTACTGCTCAAGACCAATATAGAAATTACAAAAAAGTCCATCTTCTTTTAAGCAAAACGTAAAGAAATGAGGGATGGATCAAGACTTGTGCACAGTACCCTACACTGGCTGACAATGCTACATGCAAACCTACAAAACAAACTGCACCAGCAATGTGTAGCTTTGATGGTGGGTTCACCAGTTTCACTTCGAGTATTAAATGAGCCTTTTTGTAGTCTTTTTTTTTTAAGGTCCTGATTGCATTCTCAGACAATTTTTGTGCCGGTATGTTAGCCCTCCACTAGCTTACTCCTTGCTTCTAAAGCCATATCCCTTTCACACAGCTGCTTCTGGTTCACATTCAACAATCTGATAAAGTAGGTTGAGTTCCTCCTAGATTGGATATTTGGTTTCTGAGTCTTTCGTTAACTTCTGGCATCGTGTTAGCAGAGGTGCCAGAGCAGGTGATCACTGACGAGTGACGGGCGATGTGATCTGCTCGAGCTGCTGGCTTTTTATGCACAGTTTCCAGCTGAGAGTCAAAAGCCAGACACTGTTCGTTAATACTGTCTAAAGTTTATTTTCTCCTATCTTCTCTGTAAGTGGCAGTCCATCTGCACTGGGGGTTAGTTCCAGTTTGTTCCCCACAAAAAGGTGCTTCTAGTTTATTATGAACCTCAGTGAGTGTCTTTGATATATCACACTCTCTTAATTGTCGACATTAAGCAACTGAGCAAACCCTCCACAGATAGTTTCTGATCAATTTTGCTGCACTTTAGGAAGTACTATCAAATCTCTACTTTTCTGTTTTGTATCACTGAAACAAGTCTCCCTCAAATCTCTCTGCACTTTAAAATGATTAATCTGATTAGTCACAGATAACAGACCATTGTTTAAGGATTTAGGGACTGCAGATGGTCAATAACGACTTGCTGGCACGGATAGGTTTTGGGATCATGTGCTCAGTCTTTGTACCTCATGCATGGAATCCAGCAACTTGGTGAGCTGATAGAATCGCTGCCAGTTCTGGCTGGAGTTCTCCTCACGCTTCACAATGGCTTTTCCTAGCTCCTTGATATACGACATGCGAATCTCATCAAACACTGCTTGGCTCTTCAGGCCGTCCTTTGGCACTGTGGGAGAGGAGGACACTCAATGTCACCATCTTGGAAATAAAATCAGGGGAGTGTGCCTCACTTTTACTGCCCGTGTCTCACGCTACAGCCATCACACTTCCAGGTTTAAACCGCAATCATGGAAGGGCATTTTAAACACCATTAACTACTTAAAACATCCATGCTGTGAAGGACACAAACAGCACCTAATGACTATCCAAATAGTCTACAAGGCAGAGATCTAGCTCTGTAGACTATATAAATGTGTTTAAGTATTAAATGTAGTCTGGCACCTTTAATTCTGCAGCACTAAATGATCACACACACCACAATGCAGTTTTGTAAACTTCTGTACTCAATTAAAACTACGTATTAGTTTAACTGAGAAAGTGCTGAGATGTGCCTTGCGCATCCATCAACATTGTCTATAGTATTGGATTGAGATAATGACTTTTGTAACATAGGTTCAGCTGCTCTCAGGTGGAAGTCTGACCTGTGCTGAGCAGCAGCAGGACCTTCATGCACAGGTACTCATCGTGGGAAACCTGCAGCCGAACAAACTCGCTGCAAATCTTCAGCATCTGCTCAAACTGGTCGGTCATGTAGGGCAGCTTCATCCTCTCCCTGGTGGGTTCAGACAGAGACATTTCAGAATATTTCTCCTGTTGTGCTACCTGTAATATTTCTGTACATTTTATGTCCATGGTCATGATGTAGAAGGGTGAAAATCCATTTTTCCATTTAGTACAGATCATTACAGTGATCCGTTTATATTGTGAGTTACACCAAAACATGAAAACCTCAAAAATAGGATATAGAATAAACTATCTGCTTCTATTAGATATTATTCTAAGGAAGGTTTTTTAAAGGGGTAATCTCTGCTGAGGCTAGTGTCCTAACTTCCAGTTGATAAGTGATCCTCCTGTGCAGTGTCTTCTCGAACACATGTGCTGCCTCTACACCAAGCTTTGTGAAATACACCTGGGCAACGTTTGCGACATGTCGCTGACAAACAAACTTGAGGTTACTGGTCCTTTAACCTCGGTTCTCTGATAACATGATTGATGTTTATGGTGAATGCTCTAACAGCATTACCTATAAAATGAGGGTAGTTCAATATCACTCATCATTCAAGATGAGCCTCTCTTTATCTCTGCTACTCTCTCTTCTCTCAAGGTAAGACAGCTCACAGTGGAGTACAGTGACACTTAACCTATAAATCCCTGCAATGATTGACTTCAATACAATTTCATCTTGTATAAACAGAGCCCAGGAGGTGTCATTCCCCTAAAGGAATGAGCACAATGACACACAGGTAGCTGCAGACCTTTGCTAGTTAACTTACATAATCCGGTGAGAGAGCCACTGTTTAGTAACAGGCTTGCCAACATGGGGTTAGCCCTTGAAGCAAACAACTGATCCTCATGTGCAAGGCTTAAGGCACCAGTATTCCCCCCACATTTGATGCTTCGCACGCCACTGCAACGTCGTCATGCAGTCGCTTCTATTTATGTCTGCTGTCAAGGTGAAGGAAGCTACCACAGCACTCTCCCGAATCATAAGTGCCCACACTCAGAAGATAACGCCACATCAGCGCCGGTATAGGAAGGGAAGAAGTTTAAACCAGAATCAAAGACTTTACAGTCCTAGAAAGTCTCACAACACACCAACGTGCTAGCAGCATAACCGCCGTGTTACAGGGGCCATGGTGTGCATAAAAACAAGCATTAACCCCAACAGGCTTGGATGTCTAAGTTAACATGCTCCCACACCTGGCTGTATGGCGAGGACTAGACGGTGACTGTCAGAGAGGAGCCATGATGGCATCTGATGATGAAGGTATTCAGCTGCACAGTTAAGGCTTCAAGTTGTAAAGGAAAAAATTGTATCACCCGACTATAGTTGGTGAGTGCTTGTTCACAGTTGGTAGCTAGGTGAAATTTGTTGCAAAGAGGGTGCTGCACCAAAAACCTCCTTGTGATTGTTCTGGCTGAAAGCTGTCGCCAGCAGTTTGCATGGTAGATTCCAACTTGTGTGCAAACAAAAGCCAACTATTAGCTAAGTAGTAGGGGCTTGTGTAATATACTTGGATATTTATATTGAGCCATTTGTATATATTGGAGCTCTGTTTACGGACAAATCTGCATCTTTCATACAAACTACAGGTGACCGTGGCAATCAAATCGTGGTTTTTAGTGCAGTGCTGTATATCTCCTTCACTGCCAGCAACTTCCAGTGACCAATTCCTCACTGGTTTAGGAATATGCTTCTTTTTCCCCCCCTTTACTACCGTTGGTTACCAGATCTCTAGGTCTGTGTAACTGGTGAAGTTAAACAGTCAGCTGAGAGAGGCCTTCTGGGTAAAATAGGAAAAGAAACTTAAATGACATCTGATACTGAGCTATCCTCATTTATAGGGAAGCAGCATGATTTTGTCTCCAGTACTGTTTGGGTAGATGAAAAAGAGGGTATGAAGACAATACTAAGACAGCGTTCCCCATGGCGGGACAACAAACAAATGTTTGAAAGAGATTATTTTTGGCAAATTATGACAAAAGACAGGCAGCAAATGAGGTTTGTTTGGAGCTGACTAACAACAGAAAACACACCCTCGTCAGATATTAATTATGATCATGCTAATTTTAAGCTTCTGATTAGGGGGAGAAAAATGAAAAGCAAAAGGCCTATTACAGCCCCAAGCACGATAGCTCTGACAACGGCTCACTGCTCTCAGATTCTATAAGAAGGATCAGACACAGATTACTAGTAAGAGCAGGCAGACACAGTTTGAATGTTGGTAGATGGGACACACAGCAGAGAGTTGCTCTGATACACTTCAACAAGCAGATGTTTGTGCTTGAGTCACCTGGTCATCTATGTTTTTACTTTAACAATCCCGACAGCAGTGACACATTATTTCACTTATTTTAAATATACATCGGTCTAGTCGTCCTTTAGGTATCAGACGATTTAGAATGCTTAGCAATACTTACTCATTGATGACGAGGTCTGGCGCAAAGCAGAGCATGTTGCCGTTGCACTGCTGGTAAGACCTCCAGCCCAAACTAAAAGTCATGAGGAAGAGCCAGGAGTACTGCAGCAGAGTCATCTGGTCATCCAGGTGCAGGTTCCTGAAACCTGAGGGGAAGGACGTGGAAATACCTCAACTGGTTTTCAAAGCAGTCACGATATAAAATAATTATATTCATTTTCCAGAGGTGGTCTGTGGTTTACAAGTAAAATGCTAAACAACTGTTTGCACAGACTTTAAAGAGGCATCACTGTTGGCGAACACACAAGACTATGCTTAACACGGAAAACACCCAGAGTGACATTTGCTTCAGAAAGACAATAGCAACCAGTGAAGCTGTGGTTAATACCACAAACATGATATCTCTGCATTAGCATGTAAAAAAACAAAGAAGCTTCTCCTCATAACATAGCTTAAAATGTTAATAAAGGACATAGTGGAACTGTCATTAAAAACAGGTATTTTGGAAACTACACTGAAATAAACTACATGGAGTTACAGAACATGAAGTCCTCGTTACAAAGAAGAATCTACATTTGAGAGTTTGGCAGTACAAACAAACCGCAAAGACAACAGTTCGCAGAGATGTGGAAAAAGTGATAAGGTCAGATGAGTCATCTGTCACTATATTCTCTGAAGGTGGGCGAGTGTACGTGTGGTGCACGCCAAGAGAAGGGCACAGTAGGGTTGTGCAGATGGTCAAAGTGACTGATGATAGCTCGCCAATCAAGGCCATTTTAGCTCATTTTCCCTTTCATGCATTAAAATACCATTAATACAGTGGGGCAAAAAAGTATTTAGTCAGCCACCGATTGTGCAAGTTCCCCCACTTAAAATGATGACAAAGGTCAGTAATTTGCACCAGAGGTACACTTCAACTGTGAGAGACAGAATGTGAAAAAAAAAATCCATGAATCCACATGGTAGGATTTGTAAAGAATTTATTCGTAAATCAGGGTGGAAAATAAGTATTTGGTCAATAACAAAAATACAACTCAATACTTTGTAACATAACCTTTGTTGGCAATAACAGAGGTCAAACGTTTACTATAGGTCTTTACCAGGTTTGCACACACAGTAGCTGGTATTTTGGCCCATTCCTCCATGCAGATCTTCTCGAGAGCAGTGATGTTTTGGGGCTGTCGCCGAGCAACACGGACTTTCAACTCCCGCCACAGATTTTCTATGGGGTTGAGGTCTGGAGACTGGCTAGGCCACTCCAGGACTTTCAAATGCTTCTTACGGAGCCACTCCTTTGTTGCCCGGGCGGTGTGTTTTGGATCATTGTCATGTTGGAAGACCCAGCCTCGTTTCATCTTCAAAGTTCTCACTGATGGAAGGAGGTTTTGGCTCAAAATCTCACGATACATGGCCCCATTCATTCTGTCCTTAACACGGATCAGTCGTCCTGTCCCCTTGGCAGAAAAACAGCCCCATAGCATGATGTTTCCACCCCCATGCTTCACAGTAGGTATGGTGTTCTTGGGATGCAACTCAGTATTCTTCTTCCTCCAAACACGACGAGTTGAGTTTATACCAAAAAGTTCTACTTTGGTTTCATCTGACCACATGACATTCTCCCAATCCTCTGCTGTATCATCCATGTGCTCTCTGGCAAACTTCAGACGGGCCTGGACATGCACTGGCTTCAGCAGCGGAACACGTCTGGCACTGCGGGATTTGATTCCCTGCCGTTGTAGTGTGTTACTGATGGTGACCTTTGTTACTTTGGTCCCAGCTCTCTGCAGGTCATTCACCAGGTCCCCCCGTGTGGTTCTGGGATCTTTGCTCACCGTTCTCATGATCATTTTGACCCCACGGGATGAGATCTTGCGTGGAGCCCCAGATCGAGGGAGATTATCAGTGGTCTTGTATGTCTTCCATTTTCTGATGATTGCTCCCACAGTTGATTTTTTCACACCAAGCTGCTTGCCTATTGTAGATTCACTCTTCCCAGTCTGGTGCAGGTCTACAATACTTTTCCTGGTGTCCTTCGAAAGCTCTTTGGTCTTGGCCATGGCGGAGTTTGGAGTCTGACTGTTTGAGGCTGTGGACAGGTGTCTTTTATACAGATGATGAGTTCAAACAGGTGCCATTCATACAGGTAACGAGTGGGGGACAGAAAAGCTTCTTACAGAAGACGTTACAGGTCTGTGAGAGCCAGAGATTTTCCTTGTTTGAGGTGACCAAATACTTATTTTCCACCCTGATTTACGAAATAAATTCTTTACAAATCCTACCATGTGGATTCATGGATTTTTTTTTCACATTCTGTCTCTCACAGTTGAAGTGTACCTCTGGTGCAAATTACTGACCTTCTGTCATCATTTTAAGTGGGGGAACTTGCACAATCGGTGGCTGACTAAATACTTTTTTGCCCCACTGTATGATGTTCAGCATAAATCTACTTATTTCAACTAATTAGGCTAAAATGAAATGTTGATGTGTAGACATCTCTTCATGCTGAAGTGAGAAACAAACTCATAGATGTGCGTGTTTCTCTCTCATTTGTTGCATACTGATTTGGTGTATGTGGGCCACTAGCTGTACTTTAATGGAGGGTGGATCGCACTATCCTAACCTCTACCCTAACCCTTAACCTCCTCTGTGGGATCCCACAGGGTGACAATCAGACCGTCGAGCAAAGAGGCCAGCCCTACAGAACAAACATAAATGCTTGACTCCAACAGATTTTTGCTGTTGTGGTTTGGTTCCATTTGTTCCCTTAGTGGGCACAAATCAATAAAATGTTCTTCTAAGTGTTTGTCTTTTCACCGTAATTAACACCAGTTGAACACCAGTGGGAGGTTTTGTAGCAACATGTCAAACATGCCAGACTCTTTACCACCATCATCGAAAAACCCAAAAATGGAATATCTTTGAGAGAAACGATGATCTATCCCCAGAGTAGCATTACAGAGACTTGAAGCTGTCCTGCTTCAATTCAGTTTTATTTATATAGCGCCAAATCACAACAGTCGCCTCAAGGTGTTGGTGACGACACCTTGCTAAGACCCTTCAACTTATCACCTGTCTTTACTATTTATACTTTACAAATTCCCCACCATAAGCTTAATCACACCAAGCACCACTAACCTGGCAGGGCCTTGGCCCACTTGACGGCAGAGATGACCTGTCGGCCTCCAAGCCTGTTGAGGGTGGTCATGAGGCGGGTGGAGTTGTCGGGCAGGGTGCTGTCGTAGCCAGCGTAGATGGTGTCTGGCTCTATTGCCTTCAGCAGGGATAACATTGTTGGAACGAGCTGAGGCATGCACTTGGGTACGAGGGAGCGGGTCTCAACTGGCGGTGAAGGTGTAACCTCTGGTGGGTTGCTCTGCTGGACGCCCTTTAACCGATTCTTCTTTAATTTGCGAGCTTCGGGAGACATAACAGGGGTGAACAGGTGCAAATAAAACAACTCAAAGCATCTGAAATATCCATGCGGGTGCTGCATACCTTCCAGATTCATGCCTGCCATCAGACACTTTCGGAATCGGCAGGCTGGGCAGTTCTTCCTCCTGATTTTGTCTATTATGCAGTCATTCCTCCCTGCACACAGGTAATTATGTTGCCCTGCAGCACACAGAAGAGAAGATCCATGTGTTATTTACCTTAAATGTTAAGGCAAACACTGCAGGCTAAATCTAATGAGGTGTTTCATGGTCTTTTAAAACATTAAGGCATCAACTTTAACATTATAACCCCTGTATTTGAGCTAACATGAGAGGCAAACACTAGTAATTACTGTGTAACAGGAGGCAATAAATACACAAATGATGATATTTTAGGGTGTTGCACCTTCTACTGCTCTCTTGAAGAAGACTTTGCAGCTGCCGCAGGTGAGAACGCCATAGTGGCAGCCCGAAGCCTCATCAGAGCACACCAGGCAGATTTTATGAGTCCCGCTCTTTCCTTGTGTGGAGGATGTAGCGGTGCTCCCTTCCTGCCTGGAGATAGAATTGGAAGAAGCAGCATTTTTATTTATTTATTTATTTTTTAATAAAACACAATTTCACACACAGTGACATCTCGCTAATGTAATTTTACTGCATGCCAAAAGTGTTTAAATTGATTCAAATCAAACAGCTGCAAAACACAATCAGATTCATGTAAAACTCACAAACTGCGTGTTTACACAGTGCTATTTATGCAGCCTTGTCCTATCCAGAATTGAGCTGTAGTTCATATTTATAACTCTGTGCTGAAGCTTTGAAGCAAATAAAAAACAATTTACATATATATACACTCTAGTGACTATTTTTGTAAACTCTGGTTTGATCTCAGCATCTTGAGTGAAGAAAACTTTAAAGTCCCAGCCCTTAAAACCTAAATTATCTCAACATCTGCGGTCACATCCTAAATCCGGTGGTTTTCATCAAACAGCCCTTCTTCCTGTGATTGAACCGCAAACATTTCCAGACCCGGTCAATACTGGTTAAGAATGCACTTGCTCAAAACCGCCACTAGAGGACTTTGCCGCATTCATGAACTTTTCTAACCCAATGGCCACAGCAATGACAACGCCCACACTGAGAGGATATCCAGCCTGAGACGTGCAATAACCGTTTCTGTCCATATGTTTACACATCTGCTGCTGCAATGAAAACTATTGTATTTGACAACAGCTTCTCCTGAACACCATCACTGCACACAACAAAACACTTATTGAGGTTATTGGCGGAGGACTCAAGTTCACTTTTTGTTATACAACATGATTAAGATGAAAGCAGGCATTCATGCACTTTCAATGGACAGCGCAGGACCGGAAAACCTGAGTAAAACATCAAAGCATCAAGTCCAGAAGCATTCATAAATCTTGTTATAAAAGAAAAGGCAAGAAAACCAAAGAAGCACGAGATCTGTGAAAGCTAAGCTCCCCTGACAACACACTGTGGCCAATACATGTCAGTTTTCTATAATCCGTACAACTGTGTGATTGTTTCCGAGCTTTCATTTTCTCCATCTTTCACCGCACTGTTTTCTTACACCTCAAACTCAAACCAGTGTTTACTTCCAAATCTCGTTTTAATTAGGAGAGCCGAATGCCGCAAAGTGGAGTGTTACGTAAAAAACTCCCTTCTGGTCAGCTGTGAGCGGTGAACGCAGCTTAAAGAGAGTGAACACAGCCACTAAATTCACGAGTAAGCCAGGAAACCGGCATTTATGATTATTTTGAACTTAAAAACAAATGTTTTTAAGAGTAACACGAGCAGGATTTCAAAATGTTTGAGGTAGACTACGCAGAAAGAACATTATGATAAATGGGCATGGTGCAATAACAACTGTTTTTTAAGCCCTGAAAACCAGATTTATCGTCCCAGCTTAAAAAAAAACAATGCATCCCAGCTTAAGTAGGTGCATTACTTGTATAAATAAGAAACAATCAATCATTCATTTGCAACAGTTGAAAAGGGAAACAAGAAATTACCAGCAAATCCACATTCAACAAACCAAACAGTGGGGTAATGGTTTTGCAGTATGTTCCCACTCTCATTATCCATCAAAGTTACACCAAAGAAGTGACTACTAAGCCTAGAGATATTTATTTTTTAACTGATTTAAGGCTGATGTGGGCTGCACTTTAAAAGAAATATTAAAACTACATGCCCGTATTATAGCGCAGTGTGTGTGATGACAGAGAGCAGTCTCCCTCATCCCTCTGTCTTTTCAAGTATTCACAAGAAAAACTAGTTCTGCTCAGTTATGTTTTAAATCAAAGGCATCACCTTGGTTGAAGGGTAATAGAGATGGCACTATTATCCTGTTATTCTTCAAATACTGCCTTAAACGCCAAACTGCTGTCAAATGACTAGGAATTGACCTTTTACGGTTTGCACTGGACCTTGTTTGTTTATTACTGAAAGGAGCTCCACTTTGCAAAAAGCTTTGCATTTTTCACCGGTTTGTACAGTATCACATAATCCCTCTCATGTTATTAGCGTATTCTTCTTTGATTTTTATTCATACACATTTTGGACACTAAAATGGTTGCATAAAGTTTTTTATATTTTGGATAACATGGTTACCATTTACGTATCAGCAATACATTTGTATTGTTTTGATGACGTTCCCTTTTAATCTGCCAATACAAATATTTAAAATAGTCACATTTATGTAGCAGCTGAAGACTTTAATAAATTCTGATATTCACTGCTTTCCAGATCAAGGGTCCAAAATACTGAGGATCCAAAATGTTTCAACATTTTAATTAAAGTAACTCTTGACAGCAGGAATGAGGTGTTAGTGCTGATATGATGTGTCGGGCTATTTCCATATTTGACATTGCATATTACCAAACATCTCCACTTTGGTCTGATCGGGCCAAAGGACACTGCTCCAGAAGTCTTATGTTTTGCTAGATGCATCTTCGTGAACCTAAGCTGTGCAGCCATGTCATTTGTCAAGAGGAGTTTTCTCCTGAAACCCTTCCAAACAAGCCATGCATGTTCAGTCTTGTTATAATTTTACTGTCATGAACTTCCACTTTTAATATGTCAAATGGCTCTAGATGGCTAAAGAAAATGGTAGCTCTTGGGTTTTTTGCAGTTTCTTTGAGCATTGCACCGTCTGACCATGTGCTGAATTTGCAGGGATTTCCACTCTTGGGAATATGGTTGCACTGTGTTAATGCACACCTGAATGTTCCTTATCAGCAAACTGCCTGAAGGTCTGCTTTTATAGGGATTGTCACACTTGACAAGTACATTTGATTAGCAAGGTCTGGCTGCTACAAACCGTCTTAATTCATACGAAAACGATAAAACTGTAGTTAATTTTTAAGACGGGATCTGGAGGTGGCATTAGCAAGTTCTCTCTTTGCAATAAAGTCCTGTAACAACATCCAGGACACATCATGTCTTCTCAACCATAACTTCTTGATGTACTGTCAGGATGCAAAAACTACACTGCTCTGCTTCCAAAACAAACTTTGCAAATAATCTTTTAGTTTCGATTTGTCTTTTATTTTGAGAAACAAAACTAATAACAGTGGGACCTGAAATTTTGCAGAAATCCTATTAAGGTGGATTGCTCCACTGGAATTTTTCTCAACTCAATCCTAAATGGTTGGATTTGAGGGACTTGATGACTGACGTGGAATAACCTTTGCATTCATTTGGGATCCCAAAGTGAGCCAACAGAAAGTTATGTTATTTTCTAGTGCTGCTCACTTTGCCCTCTCTGCAGTTCTTCCAAACAAACACAAACAAGCCAAGGTCGGGGTATGTCCTTGACCTTGACTGGTTTTAACCTCACTGAACTTTGGTTTATATTTATACACTAACATCACCTGAGAGGGACGGTTGCACCATCTCTACTTTAACAACAAGATCAATTTGCCAACCATGTAATAAAAAGAAAATGTGACTTCATGATGCATTCAAGTGCGCATTGTAAACCCCAAAATTCATCCTGTAATGACCACGCATCTTTTTACACTTTATACCCAGAGCACAACTCATAGCCTACCAAAGTTAAGGTGACCCTAGTTAAGTAAACAATATTTTCACATTACCACTGAATCAAATGTGAAAATGATTGTTAATCCTCAACAATTTCCAAAATGTTTTACTCACTCTGCCTTTTCCAGTGCATTGTTTAAAAGTTTAACCTTTAGCACTTTTCAGTAATAACAGCTTGTGGCTGCTTTCAACAAAAGCTCTAACCTAAGCACAAAGAAAAAACAAAAACAATAAGCAGAAACTCTTAACAGATGTATAAATATGTATGCAAATATTCAGAAGAATGCCTCCAAATAACAATGCTATTGTTTCACCCCTGCTGGATGTGTTAAGAAGCTACGGTTTGCCAAAATGTGTCCTGTAACAAAGTTATTAGGTGATAATACGTCGCTATTATATTTGCAGCCTGTTCCAAGCTTTAGAGTTTAACACAATGCTTCACTGTGGCTATACCAACACACTATACTGTAGAAAAATATAAAGAACCAAATATAAAGCCAGGATGCTTTGAACAACAATGCTATATACAGTTTTTTTCCCATATCAAGCTAAAAATCAAATCAATATTTTCTGCTCTCTCCCTTTAAAACATCACCAGTCCTCCACACAGGCTGAACTACAGCTTTACTGAGGCCTATAGATCTGAGAGGTCATGGCTGTGTGGGGGAAATACCATCTGCTGCACAGTTCGCTGTTGTACTTGTCACTGAAGATAATGTTTCATGATTCGGGTCTATGTTTGAGGTTTGTGCCACAGCATTTTGGATCACTTATAAGGCCTCTGGATCGTACTGCATGATGGGTAAAACTAAAATAAGACCACGAAGACCCCAAATGAGAGTGTAGTGGCCTGCACGATGGGCGGTGGCTGCTAATGAGTCTAGACTGATGATGATGATGATGTCAGAGGGTTTGTCCTTGACTGGTCCACTGAGATGGTGTCAGCAGAGCAGCTTTACTAGAAGGCTTTGGACTACTGGCTTAAATCCAATTACTGCTGCTGGTAAATGCTTGCAACAACGACAACAATGTAACCCTGAAGAGAAGTTGTGGCTGTCTATGACACTCTCAAAATCTCATTGTGAAATCAGCTGATGAAACTGAACTTCACCATAATATGAGCTGCAAATCCGTCTTTGTGGATTGTCAGATGCAAACCACTCAAAGCTGCAAGGCAATGTGGGGAGACCAAATTTCCTCTTTCTGAAACCATCTGCTGAAGTGCGTGCTCACAATCAACAGGAAGTTCTTGCATTCCCTCTGAGTGTACTCTCGGTCAGAGCTCAGACGCAGAACAAAGGCAGAGACACCCTGAGTGGGGGCTCGCCTTCAACACGAGCAGCGCTGAGAAAGTTAGCTGCTTAGGAGCGCAATCAATGAGCCTGGGCAACACACTTGTGCTAACGCAGGTGTCCCAATGCCCTGCTTAACAATTCATAATCCCCTTTAAGCTGCGTGCATCACAAGGAACTTGGCAGCCCCCTACT